AGTGAGTGGCCGCAGGGGAAAACAAACAGACTCCGGTGCCTCTTCAACAGGCGACTGGAACACCAACTTAAAAAAGGCTCTGAGGCAGGGAGCCAGGCGATCAGGCTCGGCTGGTCCCACCCCGACAAAAGAACAGCAACCAGAAACTCTGGATTGAGAGTTTCACAGCAAGTGCAGCTGAACCCGGGAAGGTCCAGCTCTGTGGCGGAGGGGCATCCGCCATTACCAAGGCAGCCCACCACAACAAAGGTAGTCCGCCAATGCTGAGGCAGCCCGCCATTGCCAAGGCAACCCGCCATTGCTGAGAGTCTCCACCTCAACAGAGGGGGGCCACCATCGCCAAAGCAGTTCTAACTACACCCATATAAACAGGATTGCAGGGAAGTTCACTCGGCAGCTGGGCAGAGCCCACAGCAGCCCAGCAAAGCCTCTACAGGCAGACAGTGACTAGGCTGCCTCCTTGCTGGGCAGGGCAGGTGTGAAGGAAAAAAAAAAAAAGAGAGAGAAGGCAGCAGCATAACCGAAACTCATAAAGCCCTAAATCCCTGAGACAGAGCACCTGGGAACAAAAAGCAGTTTATGAGCTCTGTTCCAGCAGACCTAAACATACCTGCCCAGCAGCTCTGAATGAACAACAGAGCTCACAGCTCACCATTTGAGCTCCTATAAAGAAGAGACCGTCACCTCAAGCAGCTCCCTGACCCCTATATATCCAAAGAGACACCACAAAAAGGAGAGTTCAGATTGACACTAGGCGGGTATCCTTCTGGGACAAAGATAGCAGAAGAAGAAAACTGGTAACAACACTTACTGTTCAGCAGCTGCTGCAGGTGAACCTCAGGCAAGCAGGTCCTGGAGTGAACCTCAGCAGACCTACAGCAGAGGGGCCAGACTGTCTGAAGGAAAACCAAGAAACAGAAATAACCTCATCATCAACAAACAGAACGTCAATCTGAAAGATTTGAGACCCAATCTGAAAGCCAGCAACTACAAAGTCAACAGGTGGATAAATCCTTAAA